TTTCTAATTACTAGAAATAAAAAATTTATTAAACCTTCAATTCTTAGTTTCCAAATAATAAAACTCCAAAATTTTAATACAAACTTAAAGCATACATAAAATTTGGATATTTATAATTCCAATTTATATTATATGTACTGTTTTCAATAAATCTATGTACCTATTCACTTTTTAGATAACAAAATCTTATATTGAAAAACTAAATTAATTATGCATTAAGTATCACATTATCAGTATTCCTCTTTAGCCATTAATTTGTGTTCTTAAAATTACATAGCAGGTCATTGAATAAAAATAGATAGGTTGAGAAAAATGTTTTTTAACCAATTTTGATTTTTACTACACCTACTGCAATAAAATTACTACAAATGGCATAAAATGTAAAAATGACGATAATTTCTCTAATGTAAAAATTTTATAATTGAAGAAACATGCTGTTCCTTTCCAAACTCCAAGGGTATAAACATCATCAATTTAAACCACAAAAGAGGAAAGGTTCAATTTAATATACCTGTAGTTTTAGGATCTAATGTGCCTGAATGTCCGGTCTTTTCGACTTTTAATATTCGTTTAATCCATGCAACTACCTCATGACTACTGGGGTTGCTTGGTTTGTCTAAATTAATAAAACCAGATTTAATATATTCTCCAATCTCTCTTTTTAATGGGGATGATCCGAATGGTAATGGAGTGTAATGATTTGTACGAACGTTTAGCCGGTCGAAATTCTACAAGAAATTTACTTCTTTGCATTAGCAAATAAACAGATACAACGCAGAAAAAACGTACCTTCAATAAAAGAGGCCATTTGGATGCATCTAACTTCGTAATTTTTTCTGATGGCTCGACTGAAAAATCTTGTGTCTTTTGAACAGCACCAAGTGATTTCTCGGACTTAGATTTCTTTTTTTTTTTAATTTTTTCTTCTGCTGAAACTAATAATATTGTTGCAGATTAAAATAAAATCGACCGATTTTAGACAGTACATAGATGTAATGTATAAACATACCAGTATCAGCCATTCTTACGAATTATTGAAAAACACGTGCAAGAAACGCTGTTAAAAATACAAGGTTATTTAATAGGTTATGTTTGTTTGGCGCAAGTGGCGTCAATCATCACCATGCCCGTCAGTTATTAAATTCAAAACAAAAATAATAATAACACCAAAAACTGTCTCGAGTTCCACATCTGTGTTATAATGATTGAAAATACGTGAATTAATTTCAGTGCTTTATGCAATCCAAGTTTTTCATAAAAATACCAAAGTCATATCAGAAATTGACTTAATTTACGTTTTTCTCGTTGAAGGGGAAAAACAACCAACCCAACCAATCTCAAAGGGGTATTTCGGTAACGGTGACCGAAAATGCCTTATGCTTCAGTTTATCTTCAGTTTTGCTTAAGTTATATGTATGTTACATTTTTTGTATATTTATTATCTATGGTCACATGTTTGTCACATATTTATATACAAATGTAACTTATTAGTTATTTACATCTACCGGAAAAATGAGTTTAAAAATTGATTATAATGACTCTTGGAATCTTATTAAGAAAGTATTTCCAATTTTAGACGAATCTTCATCGAAGGTAACGTGTACGTATTTTTCTCTTTAATCTTAGTTTTTGAAATAGATTTTTGTAGCAACAAGAAGCATCGGAAAATGAGTTTTATAAAACGTTATCCGTAATTGAAAATCTGAATTTAGCAGAAATTATCAAAACTATGATTCTAACAAGAGTCGAACGTGAAATAAGAGAAAGTTATGTTCCAAAATTTTGGTCTTACTTTGTCAAAGTAGAAAATTATGAAGAAGGTTTTTTCAAATTTTCAAAGGCAATTAATTTCATTCACGACTGTTTTATGCAATATGGGAGTTTATTTCTCAAGCTGAAAATATTGAACAAGAAATTATTGCCTGAAAGCAATATTTATGGCAATGAAGATCCTGTAGATGCTTTAAGATTACTGTTCAGAGCAACCTTGTTGTCTCAGTTACCTATTGAACATAAGGACATAATAGAGAACTTTTACATAATTGCACTGTCTGAAGAGAATAACAGAGATATTGCAGATTTTTTTAATTTGAGTCAACAATCTGAAAATAATTATAATTTGATATTTAGTGAGACTAATAGGTATGATATTTTAAGAAGGAACTAGAAGTTTGGTAATTTCAATTGCTTTAATTGTGCATTCAGTTCCTGAATAAAGTAAGTTTATATGGGAGACCATTTTACTATTGTTTCTTTTTTTTTGCAGGAAACTAAATAAATTAGATCTTCTGGAACCATTAGTCGGGCAAGTTTTGACTTCTTTGATATACACCACTATAGAAAACCATGTACAGAAGACATGCAAAGACAGTTTCGATTCATCATACTTAACTACTCTTGAAACAGTTAGTATTGAATATTTTTATCTTTAACTAAACCAACGTTTAAAATTAATAGTGTGTAATAACTGTTTGTTATAGTGGTTAGAAACAGTAATAATACCATGGCTCCAAACAATTTATTGTTCTGAATATGCGAGTGTCAATGAAGAAGCTGTTAAGCGATTTCAAAGGAAACTATTAAATTTTCTTTATGAAACATATGCTAAAGTGCGTATTAATCAGCTTTTTAACATAATAATAGGTGGGTCAATAGATTTACTTTGTTCTCAATAAAAGAATGAAGTTTCTTAGAATTTCCGGAGTCTTTGCCTGCATTAGAAGATTTACGTCTTTGCCTTCAAAAAACTGACTTGAGATCTGTATTGATTGAGAAACTACAGAAGTCGATGGAAACTCGTTTATTGCATCCTGGTGTTAGTACTCCCGACATTTTAACTGCCTATGTAGCTTCCATTCGGTCAATGAGGGTTTTAGACCCTTCAGGACTACTCTTAGAAACTGTTACACAGCCTGTTCATCAGTATCTACGAAGCAGAGATGATACAGTCAGGTAGTTAAGTTTTGTTAAAAGAATATTGAATAGAATTAATAGTTTTGAAGTCCACATACTAAATATACGTAACTCACGTGGAAATACGTTCTTCTAAAACTTTTATTTGATTTGTAAATATTGCTTGTATTATAAAAAAATGAAAAGAAACCCTCGAATTGATAATGTTAAACGTAAGTTTGCTTATCAAAAAATTTCAGATGTGTAGTGAGTAGTTTAACCGAAGAAGATCCTAATGATCTAGCAGAGGAATTAGTCCGGGGAAATGCGGTTCATGTGGATGAAAACGCTCTTTCCGATGAAGATGCTGAAAACTGGACGAAATGGATGCCGGATCCTGTTGAAGCAGATCCTAGTAAGTATAATTATCAATACATTTTGTTTTTATATGTATTTCTTTACAAAAGTTCAGTTTGCTATCTCTACGAACAAAAATTTACTTTTTCTTATTCTTTCACTTTAATTGTTTCTATTTTTCTTTCTATTTTACAAACTCTTTGAATTTGTTTTCCGCTAGCTGTTATTGTTTCGTCTAGCTCGTAATTTTTATTTTAATTTTCAAAGGAAAAAATTAATGTATTTATTTTAATTTTTAGATAAATCTTCCAACATTCGACGATCATCAGACATAATATCAATGCTTGTTAGCGTCTATGGTAGTAAGGAACTTTTCGTAAATGAATATCGTACTTTGTTGGCCGACAGACTTTTATCTCAATTTAGTTGCGATACCGAAAAGGAAATTCGATACCTTGAACTACTCAAATTACGTTTCGGTGATTCCCAGTTACATTATTGCGAAGTAATGTTGAAAGATGTCGCTGATTCAAAGAGGATCAAAACGCATATCGCACAAATACCGGAATACTCCGAGAATTTTAACATGTCTGCGATGATTTTGTCAGCGCAGTTTTGGCCAGCTCTAAAGGACGAAAAACTTGAAGTTCATCCAAAAATTAAGGAACAAATGGCTTTATACACAAAAGGCTTTGAGGCTTTGAAAGGTAGCAGGACGTTAGCATGGAAGAACCACTTGGGAGTGGTTGACGTAGAAATTGATCTACCTGATAGGAAACTGAACTTATCTGTTACACCTGTTCACGTCACTATTATTATGCATTTTGAAGATAAAAGTAAGTATCAAGGGAATGTATTTTTTAAGTAGGAATTAGAGGTGCAATTATTGATTTTGCTCCGAACATTCCTGTACTTGCAGTCATGTGGACACTACCGCGATGAAAGTTTTCGGTGGTTTTGAATTTTCTGTATATTTTTCTATTTGATAATTCTTTCTATAACCTACGCAAATTTGTTGATTTTTGATAGTAAACTTTCTGATTCTTCTATTTAGCAGATATCATTTTTAAATCATTAAAGTTTAGGAAAAGAAGTGTTAATTAAATCTTAAATAGTTTTTAACTTTTTGTGTTAATCCATTTTCGAGTTTTAGGACCTAATTTTCAACAAAAGAAATTTCTGACTAATATTTTGCGTAACTAAATTAAAAATACGCTGTTTTTATTCTTTTTCCCATTCTATTACTCAGAGTGCTTTTATGGATTAGGTATCATTAAATTCATTGATTGTACTATTTGTTTTTTAGTAAGTACAATTAATTTGAAGTAAGTATTTTTTATGTATGTATAAAAATGGTTATGAATTTTATCAACTAAAGAAATTTATAATATGTAATAAGGGAAAAAGTTACAAAAATTAAAAGACGTAGAATAGCTGAAGTAATAATTTTTTTTTAATTTTACAGAGGAATGGGCATTGGATGAATTGAGTCGTGTTATGCAAGTTCCGCCAACGATATTAAGAAGGAAAATGGGATTTTGGCAATCTTACGGACTTATAGAAGAAGTGAAACCGGATTTGTTTTGTTTGATAGAAGAAATAGAAAATAGTGTAAGTAAAGCTGCGTCAGAGATTGTGGAAGATTATGAATCAGAAAGTGCAATGGCTAGCGCCCAAGATCAAAGGAAAGAAGAATTACAGGTACTAAATTGTACATTTGAAATTATTATTAAAAATTTTAAGATGCCATATTTTCAATTGTTGTTGGCTTAATACTTATATTAATGCAGATTTTTTTATACATATAGACGTTTTGGTCTTACATTACGGGAATGTTGATGAATCTCGATTCATTACCATTGGAAAGGATCCATCAGATGTTAAAAATGTTCGCCTTTCAAGGACCTACTATTGAATGCAGTTTACAAGAATTGAGACACTTTCTGGATGCCAAAGTAAGGGAACATGAGTTAGTTTATTCTGGTGGATTGTATAAGTTGCCTAAATCAGATATTTTAACTTAATTTAGAAATATGTTAAATTATAGGAATAATATTCGTTTTTTTTTTTCGTTATGTATACAAGGTATACATTTCGATTTCGAATCAAAAACTGTTAGGGACATTAAATTTTAAAGAACGTTGTATACATTTAGTTTTCAAGCTCCTCTCTATAAGGCTAGGAAATATGGCTTCCTAAGCCCTTTAGTTTGAAGTTTGATATTACGGGAGATATTTAGTAACAGGTTATGAATGGATCTCAAAAAAAACAAAGAAAAGAATAAGTGAAAGCGAAATGATAAGAGACTGTTTATGTATCCAACTTTTAAATTTTAATTACATTGAAATATTTTCAAAGTTAATATTAATATTCTGATTATAAGAAGAAAATAAAAACTGAAATTTAATGCAAGCTAATAAAACCGTATAAATATGGATAATAATGCGCCTAAATAACGAAATTACTCCGGTAAAAACACTAACTTCAACTTCATGACGCTAAAGAAGGGATACACTTAATCAATAAATAAAAATTATCAATCCGTCTTTTTAATTTGATTAAGTCTATTGTCAACATTCACTTTTTTATAAAATATACGCTATTTTCCCGTAAATTTCTAGCTATAACGATAAACGAAAAAATAATTAATAAACAGGAAAATAAGGTGCTTTTGCAGAAAAATGTAAAATAAGGGGACATTGGTATTAAGATTAAGAAATTATTAAGATGCGATAGATAATAAATATATTGTTTTTATTATTTCATAATATTACATGTAACTATATGAGTCTCATTTTATGTAGAAAGTGTGGCTCTTCTTTTGCGTTATGAATTAATGTTACTGTTTTTAAGGGGATAAAATTGAATATCGGTGGCGTAGCCTAGATACAGCGTCATTTCAATTCATCACTTTTTATTTTTGAAAAATTCACTAAAAATGCTGTTTTTGTTTTCGCTTACGATGAAAAATCTGATCGTCTATATAACACCTCAGACCATTAAGCAGCTCTTACTTTAGTAATTAATTTATGGAAAAAAAGCACATCTTACCGTTTAGATGTTATTTAGACACTACGTAAATTTGACCCATCTAATTGATTTATGGATTTATTTGACGTATCCTTGTCTATGGATGTGTCTATAAATCCATTAATCGTGTTAAGTTTTGTAATCATTAACTTAAAAAAATAAAAGGTTTAAATTTCATCCAATTACAGTTGGAGAAGCCAAGCAGAGCAGCACCATTCTAAAAACCAAGGAAGAACTTTTATTGAATACATCGTGAACACATGATGTCAGTTAACACCTATACCTCTCTCAATGTGTCTAATCTGCAAATAACTCTAATCGTATAAGTAAGTTTATCTTTATAAGTTACCCGTTATATTATTATGTGGTTCACAGTACAATAGCAAAGCAATACGTTAAATTTTGAATTGGTTTTGTTAATTACAAATATCAATTCGGAACCTTTCTTAATCATTTTAAAAAGATTATTGGTATAACTTCCGTATCACGGCTTTTTCGAAAATGATTTTACCAAATTATTTATTGGGATAGAGAAACTGTTTGTAAAGTTTATTAAAAATAATTCATTCACATATTTTATACTTGAGGTGTACTTATTTATCATTCAATGTATGTTTGACCATTTATTGTTTCTTATTTAAAAGTTTTCTCCATTACTGTAAAATTCTGTTCTTTATTTCTCTTATCCGTCACAATTAATCGATATATTAATACGTAATTCAGCACTAAAATTACATCTTTATGCATCTGTGCTTTCATAAGGTGAACCAAACCAGGTGTAGCTATTTATCAAACATTTTAGTTTAAAGCAACAATAATTAATAATCAGTTGAGGGGTGAAGGTTTATTTTTGATTAGGCAATCAACAACAATGTTTTGCCTTTTATTTTTTTAAGCTTTTTGTAGGTGTGTTGCTATGTTAATACCCGAATAATATAATAATCTACCTTAAAAAAACAAAAAAAATAGATGAAATGTTGATGTTGATTACCTCATGAAAAACAAACCTAATAATAACTAAATTAATTATATTGATATTTGAATATTGTTTAATGTAATAATTCACTTGTAGAAATATTACATAAATTCTGGACACTCTGCCGTAGGGCATTTATTATAGTAGTCTTCTTTTAGTTCAGCAGGTTGTTATACCTGAAAGAAGCAGGAAAGTGCTTTTTTCCACCACAAATAGGCAAAAGGATATTTGTTGCCAAAGGAAGGATTTATAATGAATTGACATAGTTTTGAGTGATACCATCATAAAGGTAAGACGTTAAGAATTTTTGTTATTATTATAACAATGCTGATGTGTAATTTAAACATAAAATAAGTAACGTTGAGTTAGTTTTGCTTTTCCATCTATGGTCTGCAGTTTTCTTCTTTAGCAACGTCGCCATTTTAGTTGCTTTTCATTTTGATCCTACTGACAAAAGATTGTCTACCATGGCGTTCTTGCTTATAGCTTTTTACCCATGATGGTCTTGTGGTTAATTAAGATCAGCTGTAATATGTATTTATTTTCACAGTTTTCAACTTCGGCCTTACATTAACATTGCATTGTATAAGTTATTTTACTAATTAATTAATTGTATCTGAGTACTTTTTCATTATTCATTTTACAGGAACATAAGAACTCCATGTGTCATGTGTTACAAAGCATTGGTTGTATCTGTCGTTTTTTGCTCTAGAAGTAGCAGCACTTAATGTTCATAAGAAACTATGAAGGCACGTTCTTGCATTGGGAGCAAACACATTGTGTTGTTGTTTAGAAAGGATTTATGACAAAAATTGGTAAGAATAGTAGATGAGGTCTCGGAAACCTCAGTTTCTTAGATATTTGTAATTTACTTTCAATAGATCGATTTTAAACGCTTCAGAAATGTCAGAATTAATAGAAAACTGTTGTTTTCAGTAGTGTGAATGCTACTTTAATGTAAGTGATAGACCATTTATTTTAAATTTTCTTTGAAAAACGAGAATATAAACTATTTATACGTATATTTTGACTTTAATTTGAGAGTCAAAAGATCCAGCCACCTGTCTTTAACTTCACTATCAGAGCGTCACTTTAAGTGTGAAACCTTAGATTTGGGTAATTGCCAGACTGCAGTTTATCCAATTTTTTTTTAATAAAGTCTGGTTGGTGTGTATAGCGCCACTACATTGTGTTGATTCCGTCACAAACGTTCAAAGAGAAATAAAAATTATTCGGAAATGTGGAAAACTACTTTCTTTTATTAAAACCATATGTTAAGAGTTTTTCTTTTACTTTGAATTTTAAATTATAACAATGTTGAGGTATAACGTAAAATAGGTAATGTTCTGTTGATGCTTTGTTTTTTTTATTTTTGCTCTATGTTTCTTCCTTTGCAATTATCTACGTCTACAGCATAGACACTATAATTATTATATACATCTATGAATTTTATGCATCTTGATGATTCATCTTGACTTGAAACTGAAAGTAAAGCCATGCCACGTCGCCATTTTAAAATTGTAGAATTTTACTCGCTTTTTTGTGCTCGATGTTCTATTTCATGTTTTATTTATTTGTTAGTTTAATTAATTGTTTTTTTTTTTCGTTTCTATAGATTGAAGATAGATGAGAGAGGAAATTGAAGTTCATTTCGATCCTACTAAAAAAAACAAGTTTTAGCTGTTTAATTTTTATCTTGGAGGGTTTTGTGATTAATTAAGGTGAGCATTCATGAATATTTATAGTATATTTATTTGATATTAACAAAGGAAAGGGTTCGATATTATTTTGACGTTATATTATACAGGTTTGTTTTACTAAAAAAAGATAAATTAATTATATCTGAATACCTACCTTTTCATAAGATTTCATTTTACAGGAACATTATAAAAAGTTCTGATGCCATTTAGTTGTCATTCAGTCCTCATCGCTCCAAAAGTATCTGTACGTATGATCCTACTGAAAGCATGAAAATGCCTTTTTTCCATTGAGAATGGAGACAGTGTGTTATTGCTAAAGGAAGGATTTATGACAATAGTGAACTGGTGAGTAACAGTATTAATTAAGAATTGTAAATAAGGTCCCAAAAGTTTCAATTTCTTACACATTTGCAAGTTACTTTGAATAGACAACTTTTAAACGTTTCAGAAATGGCATAAACAAATCAGCAGAATTAATGTGAACTGAGCTTTTCAGCAGTGTAAATGTTACCGATTTACTTGTTTTTAAAGTGGTAATTAGGTAATTAATTACTTTTTGCCTATTTCTATAGATTATCCAACAAATGAGAAAGAATTGCAGTAAATTTTGATGCTACTGAAGCAACTGATGCTTTTGCATTATGAAATTAATTTTGATCGGGTGAGGGGGAGGCAACTGGAAATTAATTTGGATACAACAGATTGTCTGCAGTGGTATTCCTCCTGGATTTGGCGTGCTCGTTACGTCTGCCGACCTTAGAACGCTACTTTCTGCAGTCAATGAAGGTGAGAATGCATGACAATTGATATTAGTTGGTTTTTATTAATCATGGTATTTTAACTATTACCTATTGCCCACGGTAGAAAATTTACATATCGTGCAACTATGGTTATGTTATTTCATTTGACAATTTTCTATTGTCTGCATCATAAATTGATCTATGATTATTTTACAGTTATCTGTCAATTATGAGCTGTCATGTAAATTTGACCCTTTTCGCCATTTTATGATTCAGCTGGTTTATTTGCTTTTTAGTGCATGTTTTTAGGTGTGTTTAATCTCATCCTTAATTACTAGTGTAATTAATATGTTTCGCCCATTTCTACAGATCGTCCAACAAGTGAGAGAGAATTAAAGTTCAGTTTGGTCATACTGAAACAACCAATGTCTACATGGGTGTGGTCTTTCATGGATTGTATTCCTAATTTGCTGTTTCGTCTTCGCCTTGTAACATCATGCAGTTAATTTTCAACTCATGAGTAATAGCAACTGGATATTTATTTGAATTCCACTGAAATAACAAATTCTCTGCTACACTATTCCTCCTGCAGTTGGTTTGCTTTTTACACCTGTAAACTTTGGAATGTTACATTCTACAATTAATTAAGGTGAGAATACTTGATATAATTAATTTTAATTGCTCTTTATTAATCTGTTTGCCACNGAAAAATCATTTTTGAATTTTTTTACCCACTACACCTCAATATGGAGTGTATTTCTTTTTTATTTAAAATAAAACTTACCGAGCTGTCTTTCATAATAATTCTCTTATGACATATAAGGAGACCCTCCAGTGGTCTTATCACCCGCCTTAGGTACTGTTCGTCATTGTGATTTTCATACATCCACTGAGCATCTAATACATCGTGTAACGTCATTGTGTCGTCCATTTCAGATTGTATTCCTGATCTCACTCGCCGCAATTCTAACATTTGTCCCCCAACTCCCAACACTAAACCCAAATGTACGCACATTGTCCGAATATATGAACCTGCTTCGCAACTTACCCAAAAAACACCTGGAAATAGGAATACAAAAAGCTATTATAATCACCATACAGAATATAAAATCATTACGATATATTTTCAATTTCGTACACCGATCTCAATTTAATTACTACTCACCCATATTACGAGTTTCATCATAATCAAACAATTTGCTGTCATATACTGTTCTAACTCTAAGTTGTCTCTTAACGGCTGATATTAAAGGTGGCCTTTGGAAAAGAGCACCTCTGAGTTTTTCAAGGCCCTGTATTACTTTAGGGATCCCTCCATCAACTGGAGCATGAAGTTTGAATACAGTTACGTACTCTTTTCCTGCAGATTGTTGTGATTTCACCAAACGTGTCGCACGATCAATGCAGACTATAAGGCAACCTTGAAATGAAAAATAAATAGATGAATATTTTTAGCAATATGGTTCTTAATAGATAACAAAGTGCCATCAAGTAATTAACATAAGGTGAAGTGAAGTACTATTATGAAATATTTTCTAATTACTAGAAATAAAAAATTTATTAAACCTTCAATTCTTAGTTTCCAAATAATAAAACTCCAAAATTTTAATACAAACTTAAAGCATACATAAAATTTGGATATTTATAATTCCAATTTATATTATATGTACTGTTTTCAATAAATCTATGTACCTATTCACTTTTTAGATAACAAAATCTTATATTGAAAAACTAAATTAATTATGCATTAAGTATCACATTATCAGTATTCCTCTTTAGCCATTAATTTGTGTTCTTAAAATTACATAGCAGGTCATTGA